TACACGATGCTCAGAGGAGGGTGGTGAATGAGTTTTATTTCAGCACTGTTCATTTTTAAGGGCTTTGGTTGTGGCATGAGATCCTGGATCTGTCACCAGGCTTGGGTTTCACTTGAATAAATGAATGAGGAAAGATCATTTGACAGCAATGAACCTATTGCACTCCCATCCCATGTTTTTGTGGTTTCCCTTCTCCCCTGTGTTTCCTCCCTCCTGCTCTCCCTTCTGGGCTGGCTCTCCAGCCCCCAGGTCTGGCATTTGACACATGGGCAGCCACCTGGGTTGACTAAATAGGAATTGAAGAACAGCCTCTAAACATGGAACTGTGGGGTTTGCTGTGTAAACCCAGGCCAGCAGGTGGGGGGTGCTCACCTTGCCATGAAGGGGAGGAAGTATTGAAGACAGGCTGGGAGAGTTGGGGTGTTCAGCCTGGAGAAGAGAAGGCTCCAGGGAGACCTTAGAGCAGCTTCCAGTGCCTGAAGGGGCTCCAGGAAAGCTGGGGAGGGGCTTGGGACAAGGGCAGGCAGGGAGAGGACAAGGAGGAATGGCTTTAAACTGGAAGAGGGGAGATTTAGATGAAACATTAGGAGGAAATTCTTTGCTGTGAGGCTGGTGAGAGCCTGGCCCAGGTTGCCCAGGGAAGCTGTGGCTGCCCCATCCCTGGCAGTGTTGAAGGGCAGGTTGGATGGGGCTTGGAGCAGCCTGGGCTGGTGGGAGGTGTCCCTGCCCATGCAGGGGGTTGGCATTAGATGACCTTTAAGGTCCCTTCCAACCCAAACCAGGCTGGAATTTGATGTGTCTTTTGAGGACACCCTGAGGATGTGTGTCTTGGTTTCCTCTGAACCTTCCCTGGAGACACAGTGCTGGGGAACAGGAGAAGGAAGTAGCTAAAAGCAGTGAGGAATGGGAAGACAAAGCAGTGAACAAAGCTGGGGGGCTGCTGGGGGGGGATAACAGGTGTGGCAAAATAATTAAAAAATTGCACCAAGAGATTGGGCTGCACTGAGTTTTCCCCACCTTTCTGCTCCCATTTCCCAGCCTGTTTTCTCTTCAGGTTGACTGGTCTGTCACATGCTGGTTCTGCCTTTAGCAGGGGTGGTTTGTGGAGAGGTTAGTTAGTTAGTTAGTCCCTGTTCCTCTCGGGTGAGTCACTGATCAACTGACATGGGTATTGCTGAAGATGTTTGCTATTTGGAGAACTGCTGGTCATGTGTTTGATCTGGAGTATGTTCCTTCAGGAAGCCCTGGAGCAGATATGCACCATATTAAAAATGTCTTTTAGAAAAAGACTTGTGTCAGTGCTACAAGTGTTGACACCTGCATGGAATGTCCTGACCTCTGTCACACACACCACAAGTTGGTTTTGCTTGTTTATTGGGTGACTTCTCCATATGCAGAGAGATTGTTCAGGTGGTACCCAGCGTGTGCAGGGGTGGAATAAAGCACATTTAAAGCAGCTCTTTCTGTGAATCCTGCAAGCAGAATTACACTTGCAGTTAGGGTTTGGGATAGTGACCAGAAAGCACCACAAAAAACAAGTGAAAGGCACCAATATCAGTTAGAATGAATGGATTTTGTGCATGTTGGTGGTTGAAAGCTCTTCTCTGCAGTCTGTGGCAGCCTCTGGGCAGGTAGGTGAGCCCTGTGTTCATGTTCTTCCTTATCCTCTGCAGGAGGAGGAGGAGGAAAATGTCTTTGGGTCTTTTCTTTTTGCTTCCTTCCCCCCCCTCCCTTAAACCTTGAACATCAGTTTCTCAGACTGCTGCTTTCTTCACTCACAAGAGAAGCATTTGCTCTTTCCCTCAGTGCTTGGCTTCAGCAAGTGGCCACGTGGCATTTGACTGCTCAGCAGAAACCTTGTCATAACTGAAACCACCCTTTCCTCCCCTTCATCTCCACTGCTGCTCACTCAGGGAGCTTCAGATGAGTTGGGATGACAGAAGCTCCAAGTGCTGAGTGAGCAGATGTGCCTTTGTCTCCTTTCCTTGCAGACTTCTTGTCTTCTCCTGCTCTGGTTGGAGACACAGATCTGGGCTCATTGCCACGCTCTGCCTTAAATGCAACACACTGAGGGGAAGGCTGTGCTTCCCTCCCTGCTGTCTGTGTCAATTCAGAGGGAAATATGAGAGGGATGCTGGGCACATCGAGAGGCAGAGCTGAGGTGGGGAGGGAGGGAGGAGGCTGGTGTCAAAAGCCTACCCAGAGGCAGGTCACTTGGAAGCATCTTTTGGCCCTAGAGGTGTGGAATTAAATGGATCTTCTCACTGGAGCTTATGACAACTTGTGGCATGGGCAGTGGGGGACAATTACCTTGGTTCATCAGTTCTTTTGCTGGCATTTGAATTGGTGAATATAACCAAACCAACCAGTACATCAGTGGTGAACTAGCCTAGGGAAAGCTGGGGAGAATCCCCCCTGCCCTCTGCTTCCTCTGTGGTATTTATTTTTTCTGAGGCTGATTAATAATGGTTTTGTTTTTTTTTTTTAACTCTTTTTTGGCTTCCAGACCAATGATGCTGCAGGAAATACCTGGAACTGGCTTTACTTCATCCCTCTCATAATCATTGGCTCCTTCTTCATGCTCAACCTGGTGCTGGGCGTCTTATCAGGGTAAGATACTCATGACTTATGTCTCTCTATGGAAAGGGAAGATGTGTTGGGTTTCACACTGAAAGTTGGCAGCTGAAAAAGCTGTCGAGGTGCCAGATCACACTGTGTGTTGTCCCCTCCATGCATTTCCTACCCTGTCTGTCCCTTGCAGTGGGGTATTTCTATAAGATTATAGATATCTATAGATATAGGATGGGGTTTAGGCTGGTGAAAAATCATTGGGATGGTTCTGAATGCAAACCCAAGAGTTAAATGAGCTCCCTGGAAATGGGTCTGTGCAGCCAACACTCCTGCATTGTTTTGAAAACTCACCAGGCACCCACAGGTTTCAGGGCTGGAGCTGGGCTTGCCAGTGTTTGCCACCAGGAAGCACGGAGACATTAAAAGCTCTCAGGTTGTTGGTTTTGGTTTTTAGATCCCTAGCTGGTCAGGCCAATGTCTGCATTTTAGGGACGCAAGGGTCTCTTGATGTTTAAACCCCAGGGTTCAGCCAAGGATTTGGGTTTTGTTGCATATGAGTTTTGGGTTCTGGCCACTGTAGGTGTCAAGCTGCCAAGTTTGAAGTCGAGCTGGAACATCCCCAATGTCTGTGGAAATTTGATCTGGAATTAACAACCTGACTCCTTTAATGGTTTGTGAGCTCTTAGACTTTTTCACTTCATTTTGGACACAGTTTCTTCTTAGCCTATTAGGTTGATCTTCATGATAAAGACCTAAAAAGACCTAGATTTATGTCTGGCTCTTGGCAACATGGGAGGAGAGGAAGGAGTTAATGTTGCTGAGTGGTAAAAGCCCTTTGGTGCTGCCCCTTTGCTCTTTCTCTCTTACAATTGCTGGAGGAAGAAAAATGTTTTCTAAAGTTCAGATTGAATCTCAGTTTCATTATTTTTTAAGGGTTTTCATCCTCAAAGCAGGTGCTGGGGCAGGAGCAGGGAGGCAGCAGGGCAGCTTTGTTTGAGGACTTGCAGATGTGAGGGTGATGGAGGAGGCCATGTCATGCACTTCGCTGTTCCTTCAGTCCAGGAGTCATGTTCTTGATCAATAACTGATGAAAGGCCTTTGTCAACCATCCTCTTGTGTCAGAGGGCTTTGCAAAAGGGAGTTTCGTGACCACCCTGGTCTGACGTGTGATCTAAAGACAGGGCTGAGTGTGGTTCATTAGGTAATTCAGCTTTGTCAGCCCACAGTGGGGTCAGCCCTCAGTGGCTGTGACGATACTTGTGATTTAAAGCCAAAAAAACCCAACCTCAGAAGCCTGCAGGCTCCTCTTCCCCTGTGCTGGATCCCAGTGTGTTTGGTGACCGAAAGCTGGAGACCTCTGTCTGACTCTCCTGAAGCCTCGTGTTGCTTGGGGCAAAAGATGAATATTATATAACTGTGTCTCCTACAAAAAAAAATGCAGCTCTGTCCATCAGGTTTTCCTTTGTTCCTGGTGAGGGTGACAGTATCTCCTTCACAGATGGAAGCTTTTAAGTTCTGTTTTGCACAGTGGTTTGATGGCCTTGGCTGGAATAATTCCTGGGGAGATGCTGAAGACACCAACCATTGGAGCAAGGGTGTTGGCCCCACTGCTCAGCAGGCTAGGGGGTGATGAAGGCAAGTGATGGAATGGACTGGGGGGACGAAGGCACCAGAAAGACCTTCTGAAGGCAGAGGCTGTTGCCATTAGATTCTCCAGCTCCAAGCCCCAGATAGCAGTGTAGAATAACAAGACCTTTCTGTGGGAGCTGATTGTTTGCCCAGCTCTCTGTGCATGGGGAGGGGTTATTGGGAAAGACCTGTTGGCTTCCACGGGGCACAGTCTCCTTTGAGAACATTGTACCACCCACATCCCCATGACAGTGTCAGCCAGAGGCTCCTGCAGAGGAAGCTCTTGGCAACATCCCACATTTCAGTAAGACCAAGCTGATTTAGGGTTAGGGGTTACTCAGCAGTTACTCACCTGCTGACGTGGCCTGGATTTACTAACCCAGGAAGGTTAGAACTGGACCCCCTTGTTTTCTAAACTCCTGCTGCAATAGAGGAGCCAGGGGTGGCTGGATCCAGTCCTGGACATATCACAGCTCAGACTGGGCAGCCCAGGGAGATTAGGACTGAACCCCCTTGCTTTCTAGACTTCCTTCAGAGAGGAGCCAGGTGTGGCTGGGCCCAAAATCCTTCTCTCAGACCTGTATTATGGTGCCTGTAAAAGCTCGACCATCTAATACCCCTCGGGTAGCGACACACAAGGTCTGGTTATAACAAATAACACATTTAGTACACTAGTAGGAGTTAATAGTGAACAATGTAAACAAAACCACCCACAGATAATATATTAAGTAAGGAAAAGAGGAAGAGAAGAAAAAGGTGGGGGGTGGGAGAAAGAGAGAGATAAAGAGAGAGCGATGATGAGGACAGGAAAATCACCTGGATCCTGAGTTGCTGGTCCAGCCAACAGGGGAGGGTCAATATTCAGTGGTGATGAAACTCCCCCAGCCCACCACTGCAGCCCCCTATTTTATAGGCCTGGAATCTTGATTTCACAATGAGTAGGTGTGATGGAGCCATACATGTGTGAGCAGCTGGAGTGGACCTGCCCCCTCTGCCCCTTGATCATTGTCGTTATCCCAATCATCATCATTATCCCATCTCTGCAGCCCCAGAGGTTAGGCCACTGGTTTCCTGGGTTTGTATGAGATCTTCAAAACTGTCCTCTTTGACAAGAGCCCTGTTGGTCAGGCTGCATTTCCAATCACAGAACCCTAGGGGTTGGAAGGGACCTGGAAAGATCCCCCAGCCCCACCCCCCTGCCAGAGCAGGGGCACCCAGAGCACATCACACAGGAACGTGGCCAGGGGGGTTGGAATGTCTCCAGAGAAGGAGACTCCACAGCCTCTCTGGGCAGCCTGGCCCAGGGCTCTGTCACTCTCACAGGAAAGAAGTTCTTCCTGAGATTCACATGGAACCTCCTGTGCTCCAGTTTGCACCCATTGCCCCTTGTCCTGTCACTGGACATCACTGCACAAAGCCTGGCTCTGTCCTCCTGACACTCACCCTTAACATATTTATAAACACTGATGAGATCGCCCCTCAGTCTCCTCTTCTCCAAGCCCAACAGACCCAGCTCCCTCAGCCTTTCCTCAGCAGAGAGAAGCCTCACTCCCTCCATCATCTCTGTGGCTCTGCTGTGGACTCTCTCAAGCAGTTCCCTGTCCTTCTGGAACTGAGGGGCCCAGAACTGGACACAACATTCCAGATGTGACCTCACCAAGGCAGAACAGAGGGGGAGGAGAACCTCCCTGACCTACTAACCACCCCCTTTCTAACCCACCCCAGATGCCATTGGCCTTCTTGGCCACAAGGGCACATTGCTGGTCATGCTCATCCTCCTGCCCAGCAGGACCCCCAGGTCCCTTTCACCTACCCTGCTCTCCAGCAGCTCAGCCCCCAACCTATACTGGTCTATGGGGTTGTTCTTCCCCAGATGCAAGACTCTACACTTGCCCTTGTTGAATTTCATCCAGTTTCTCCCAGCCCAACTCTCCAGCCTGTCCAGGTCCCTCTGAATGGCAGCACAGCCTCCTGGTGTGTCAGCCACTCCTCCCAGTTTAGTGCCATCAGCAAACTTGCTGAGTGCACACTCTGTTTCCTCACCCAGGTCGTTGATGAAGATATTGAACAGCACCAGTCCCAGTACCCACCCCTGAGGGACCTCACTGGTCACAGACCTCCAACTAGATTCTGTCCCCTTGACCACAACTCTCTGACTTCTTCCTTTGCCACAGACACCACCAGCATTAAGGGGTTAAGTTTCACTCTGCCACTCTCTGTACCTTGGAAAGCCACAGAAAAAGCTTTCACCTGGGTATTTTTCTTACCTCTGAGTTATTTCCTCTCTCATATTTGTGCTCCTCAGCAGGCAGCAACAAAGCTACAACTTTTTGAATTAGGTTTGCAGATGCTATCACAGATTATGGCAATAAAAATAATCTGAAATGACAAGTTATTGAGCTTCCTACTGACTACACGATTATAAGGTTTGGCCATAACTCTTAATGGAATTTTCTGCCTTTCTGGAGTTATTTGCAAGCCCATGTAAACACTGGGCAGATCCTTGGCTGAGTGGGTTTACCTCCTGTGTTTATCTTTTTGAGCAGTGGAGCTGGATTGACTTGGTTAGGATCCCAAGCTTCATCTCCTGGCAGAATGTGGAAACATTTCCACTGCAAAGGCTACAGGAGAAATGAGACTTGTTTTAAAATAAAGAGCAAACAGCCTTTTCCCCTCTGCTGATCATTCTGGAACTAAAATAAAAGCAAAGGCAGGGAAGGGACAGAGATATGTGGAAACCTCTAAGTGTTGGCAAAAAACATATATAAATATATATATTAAAAAGTATGTTTTATATATAAAATTAAAAAATTGACCCACAACCTTGGGTCACAGTTGATATGACAAAAACCTCTGAGTATCTGGCTGAGGACCCCTTGTCCTCTCCCTCCCTGCCCTTGTCCCAAGCCCCTCCCCAGCTTTCCTGAAGCCCCTTCAGGCACTGGAAGGTGCTCTCAGGTCTCCCTGGAGCCTTCTCTTCTCCAGGCTGAACACCCCAACTCTCCCAGCCTGGCTCCAGAGCAGAGCTGCTCCAGCCCTGGGATCATCTTCGTGTCCCATCTTCCTCCCATTCCCCTCTCAGCCCAGTGAACAGCTTTCTTCTGTGGGCTGATGGAATTTATGGAAATTTCTGCTCCTTGGGTGTTTAGCTGAGTATTAATTTTGCCAGGTAATGAGCTGGATGTTTCTGTATGATACATTTGCAACTGTTTTGATGCTTTGGATTACATGATGTAAAGAGGATAAATGTTATCATGGGATGCTGGGAGGAAGCTGATTGAACTGATTTCAAGGCTTTGTGTGTTCTGGCTGTTTCCTGTGGTGATGGGGAGTGGGGAGAGCAGGGAGACAAGGGGAGTGCTGGCCAGGGAGGGCAGAGTGCTGCCAGGGATGGGTTGGAATACTGAGAT